GGAATGCCCCAGGAAACCGCCCCCCACGCACCCCGAGATAAAAGGGCAGTGCTTTGTGTAAACAAGCATCACTGCTGCGCAGCCAGACAAGCCGTGAACCAGAGCTACCTAATTCAATTCCCTCCTCAGAGCAATTAAATCCCAGCGTTTCTAGGCCATGGAGACAGCTGGTTACTTACTGCTTCTAGAAAAGGCAGAGGTGAGTGCTGGTGCCAGTGGGACCTGGGTTTACACTTCACAATGCCCAGTCTGAACAAACATCGTGCTGCAGGCAATAAGAAAGAGCAAGTCGGGGCCCTATGTAAATAATAATAATGTCACTCCAAGAGCCAGACTACCTGAGGAGTCCAAAGCAACAGAAGCTGGTGACCAGTAATGGCAAAAACACTATTGCCAATGAACCAAACCCCGGAGAGAGCTCTGCTCTGGCACCCAGGCAGCCATCCAGCAGGCACAGAGCAGAGCGGACCCGCTTTGCTCCCTTCACAGTTTTCAGACTCCAAAGCACAACCAGAAGGGCACCCCGGGGCGCAGGGGCTCAGCCTCCCCTCCCGACGGGCTCCCTGGCCATGGGGCTGGCGAGGAGCAGGCAGCCCTGCAGCTGGTGACACCTGGCACAGCCCAGACAAGCCCCGCACTGCCGTCTGCGCTGCTCCACCAGCTCATCCAGGTGCCTTGCAAATAATCCAGAACCTGCTGCCTGAAACACACAGTACTGAGCAAACGTAGCGTGAATTTAACAAAGAACTTACAATCTGCTCTTCGCACAGATGCACGTTCTCTGAAGCTTTCCCAACTCACTCCCAGTAACGCAATGACTTGTTATTACGCGTCGGGAGGAGCTGGCAGATAACGAAAGCTGATACAAGCTCCTCTTTGGCTGTTTTGAACTGAAATCCAGGGAATGGATGATACTCCCCAGCGCACTGAGAACACCGCACGGCAGGTTCCAGCACAGCTGAGCTGTGCCGTGGGGAAGCGGATCCACTCCCCTGGCACCTCCAGCCTCCACCAAACCTGCCCCAACGAAGCGCCGACTTGCTCCATAGTGGCAAGGGAGCAAGGGCGGCTGGGATGGCACCAGCACCTCACCGCGCAGGGAAGCGGAGGGGCTGTGCCCCCTCCCAGGCCCTGGGAGAGCCCCGGCAGGCAGGGAGCCCTTGGCACTCCCTCCTCTTCCACAGCAGTTATGGCACAGATGGGGCTAATGCGTGCCCACGCCCTGGCTCACTGCACCGGGGCAGGAGAGTGGCAAGGGAGCAAGGGCGGCTGGGATGGCACCAGCACCTCACCGCGCAGGGAAGCGGAGGGGCTGTGCCCCCTCCCAGGCCCTGGGAGAGCCCCGGCAGGCAGGGAGCCCTTGGCACTCCCTCCTCTTCCACAGCAGTTATGGCACAGATGGGGCTAATGCGTGCCCACGCCCTGGCTCACTGCACCGGGGCAGGAGCCCCAGCAGCAG